TCTTTGCATACTTCTTCGAATACATATCCTTTTTCAAATGGCTCTTCACCGATATCACGTATCAAATCTTCTAGTCGATCATTGGTTTCTTTCTGGATTTCAGTTGTCTCTGAAGCCATTGGGAAATCTACTACTTCCCCATGCCAAATTCACTTAGTGTAACTCTTGCAAAATCCATCACAAAGGACATGTTCTCTTATATCCTTCACACTTAGTTGTCTTAAATTTAAGCACTTCACACAAGGACAATAAAAGAGACCTCTATTGTTACCCACATTTCTCTGTGCAAACTCTAAGAACTCTTCAACCCCTAATTCATATTCTTCTTCTATACGTTTGACATTTATCCAACTCCGATCCATATCTATAGGTAAATGACGTCTTTGCTTAGTGTGAAAATGGAATTACCTCTATTCAGAGGCAACAAACTTAAACAACTCAAACTCTAATCCAAACTCAAATAGTACTGGAACAACAGTAAAACTCCAGGAACAAAACAAACAACACAAAGAACAAACCTAAATCAACAACATAAGAAACAAACCCAAATGAAAAACAAGAGAACCAAATATAATCAATACCCCAAAGCCCTACACCCCAGCGTGGAAACCCATAGCCTTAACTCTTCCGCTAAGAGACTCGGACCAGAGCGTCATCAACCAACCCAATAGGGCTTGGATAACACCAATCTCAACCCCACGAGAATAACCAAGTGAAAATCACATATTCAAGCCAAACTAAACGAAAATAATAATACAAAACCCAGAATAAACATGTCTACATACATTAAACCCAGGAAGAATCAGTCCACGACCAAATAAAATAATCCAGAATCAAGAAAAATGCATAAAGGTAATTGACAAAACAAGGATGCAGAAGCCAATAGGATAGACCCACGGCCCTGGTTCGAATCACCTCTGGTTCGCGACGAGATCGAAGGTGCGCAGGTGCAATGAGGAGGAGCTCCTAGAGGGTTTCAGAGAGGTGAAGACAAGGGTGGGGCCTCGCAGTTCTTGGTGCGCGTCGCAGTTTCTGGTGCGCGTCGCAGTTCTTGGTGCACAGCAAGGGTGGTGCTAAGCGCACCTATTTCAACTGGGCGATGGAGGTTGATTCACTGCAGTTTGGTTCGTAGAGTGAGGGACACTAGGATGGGTGAAGGGAAACGGAGGTTAGGGATTCGATTGGGGAAGGAGATGGGAGAGACGGTGGTTTTCGCTACTGCGATGGGGGCAAGGAGTAGGCGAAGAAGGTTTTGATGCGGTGAAGGTGCAGGAGAATGAATTTGGTAATGGCTAGGAGCAAGGGAAGAATTCCAGAGGGAGTCGAGTCTGTAAGGGTCTGGGAGTCGAGTCTGTAAGGGCCTAGGAGTCGAGTCCGTAAGGGCTTGGGAGACGCTGTCTAAAATTTTTATTATTTTTTTTAAAATAAAAAGACTTTCCACATCGGTTCATGGGGGAACCGATGTAGAAAGTACTTTCTACATCGGTTCCCATCCGAACCGATGTGGAAAGTCTTTAAAAAATTTCTACATCGGTTCTTTAATAACCGATGTAGAAAGTCTGATGTTAAAAGGGTTTTTTGTACTAGTGATTGCACAATCTGGCTTGATGTGTCTAGGTTTTTCGCATTCATAGCATGTAGGGACATTTTTTTGTTCCTGTTTCTTGAAAGGTCTGGCAACAAATTTCTTAGCAGATTTATTTTTGTATTTCAAAAATTTAGAAAACCTTTTTACCAGTAGATTTAAGATTTTGCTGTCAAAATCCTCTTCCTCATTTCCTTGCATGAGATCACTCTTTTTTGCAGTAGTTTTCAATGCAACAATGTTCCTTCTTTCAGTTTCTTCTTCTTCTTTGAGTCTTCCCAGTTTCAACTCACGTTCCCTTAATTTTCCAAACAATGTAGCCATAGTTATCGTTGTGAGATCTCTTGATTCTGAAATAGCAGTTACCTTAGGTTGCCAACTTCTTCTTAAACTCTTTAGAATCTTGATATTTAGTTATTCTTTGTCAAAAATCTTCCCAAGAGCAATCAAATGATTTACAATATGAGTGAATCTTTTTTGAACATCATAGATGTTTTCTCCAGTCTTCATTCTGAACATTTCATATTCTTGAATGTGAGTATTCTTTCTTGCTCTCTTTACCTCTTCAATTCCTTCATGGATGACTTCAAGAACACTCCACATTTCTTTGGCTATTTCACACATAGAGATTCTATAGAATTCATCAAATGTTAGTGCAGAATAAATAATATTCTTAACTCTAACATCATAGTGAGCTCTTTTATTCTCATTAGGAGTCCATTTATTAAAATCTTTGACAATTGTTATATCTTTCTTAACCTTGGTTGGTTGAAAAGGATCATTAACAACAACATCCCAAACATATTCAAGAAAAATCTGCATTCTTATTTTCCAAAATAGATAATTTTTACTAGAAAACAAAGGAGGTTTGTTTATAGATGCCCCTTTAGCAAAAGTTTGAAAAATATTAGTCATTCTTTTTGGATCAAAATCAATTAACTTTTGATAACCTAGCTCTGAGGCCAATTGTTAATAAAATGTTAATGACGGGACTTTCCCAAGAGGGGGGTGAATTGAGTTTTCAAAAAACTTTTGAATTTTTAATCAATTATTAGAGAATTTTCTCTGATAATCAATTACAAAAGAAATATCACAGTTTTTAGAAAACAAGAATATCAAGATAAGGAAAAAAAGAAAAGACTCACAAATTTATACTGGTTCGATTCTTCTTGAATCTACATCCAGTTTTAACCAAGCAACCTTAGCTTGGAGTTTTTCACATTAAAGCAAATTACAACCTAATTAAATGATCTTGATTTACAACAACCTCTAATCAAGATCACAATACTTGAAAATGTTCTACCTCACAATTTTTAAGTTACACTGATGTAGCTAGTCTCACATACATCAAAACATAAGAACAAGATACAAAATAAAGATATTAAACAAATTCACCTTAGATTTACATAATTATGCACCCTATAGCCAAACAACATTTCTTTGAGATTGATCTTCAAAATCTTTTGCAGAATTATATGTTCTTTCCTTAATGCCCAAAACGTTCTTTCTAATTATTTTCATTTGTATTTGAAAGTTGATGTTGATTAAAGAAAGTTTACATCTTTTTATAGAAAGAAAAATGTTGTAACTATCACAGATAATCAATTAGCATATTTATCTAATCAACTATTTGAGTGTAGTGATAGTTTAAAAATAGTTAGATAATCAATTAAATACATACATAATCGATTATTAGCGTGTTGTGTTAAAACAAATTTTTTGACAAATAATCGATTAAGCATCCACATAATTGATTATTAGCGCGTCTTATAAAAACTTAATTTAAGTTATATAATCGATTAACTCTTTATCTAATCGATTATTCATGCTTCAGTTTTAACATAATTGATTATTTTTACTTTCAAAATTTAGATTGTTTTGACTTTATACAAACTAACTATACTAACTACCTATCTATCATTTGACATCATCAAAAAGAGATTTTTTAAATATCTTCCCTCTTCATCAATAATTTTGGTCACCAAAATTAGCCACTGGTTTTTATTTTGTGAGTCAAAATTTGTTGTTAGGAATAAAATAGGTATTACCAATTCCACTCTTCATTTTCTCCTAGTTACATACTAAAATCATTGCATTGAAAGACAACGAATTTGGTCATGAAAACTAATTTAGAGCAATTTGGTCCCACAATATCATTTATTAATATAAAATTGAATAAACTTATTTACATAAATTATATATTATATTTATTAAATAAAATAATGAATATAATATATATTAAACTTGACCAACTAATTATTTCATTTATTAAATATATATTTATATATATATATATATATATATAATTAATTTCAATAAAATTATTTTCTAAATATATATTATTATTTATTAAATACTGTAATAGTCAAATTGACTACATAATTAAATAATGTTGTTTTTGTGAAACATCATATATATTTTTAACTTTTTATTAAATATGATTTGTTTAAAGAAATTGATTTTCTTAATTATTATTTTAAAATATAATTTATTTAAACATCATGTATATAGTCAAATTAAACAATAAGATTAAATGTTACTTTCATTAAATATAATATATTGACGAAGGTTATATTAAATGTAGCTGTAATTTGGACAAGTTTAATAGAGATGATACAAATTAACAGTTTGAAAATTAAATTAAATATTATACATTTGTGTTTCATTTTGTTTTTTTTTTAGACCATAACCACAACTATATTCTACGTGAGGCAAATATGTTCAAATTGAACAGATTTATTATGATACCAATTGGTCCACATGTTTGATGATTTATTTTAAATATATTTAACTTAATTATGTGCGTACACAGCACACAAAATTATTTATTTCAGAACATTGGAAAGACATTAGTCAAATATTTAATTAGTCAATTTTTTACAATATCCATAAAAGTAGATATAAATATTAGCCTTAATTAATGCTTCTTTATTCGAAAAAAAAATCTAGAAATTAAGATAAAGTCAGATTTGGTTGAGAATCCCATTCAAATCACGGAAAAAAAGAAAAAAAATTAAACAATATATTTTGCTTTATACTTTTCTTTTTAAAAGAAAATGAGGATTGTATATTATATTATTCTCATTTTTCTTTTAGAAGAAAATTAGGATTTCCATATATTGCCCACTCAAAAAAAATTTAGAAGACTTTTGAAAACAATTTGATGATAATTTTATACAATCAGGAAATTCTAGTTAAATTTTTTTTATTAATTTCATTATTAATTACTCTAAAACATTAAATTTCAATCCATATCCATCCATTTCAATTTTCAATTATTGTAAAATTTGTTCTCAAACACAATTCTACAAACGCTCATGGTATAACAAGAATCTTAAAAATTGTCACAAGGTTACAAATTTGAACAATTTAAGAGATTATTTAACCACTTTTAGACATCGTAGTGATGACAACAATGTCAAATAATTCCTCAGTTCTTGTTCTTGTTTTGCTGTCTCTTTGCAGCATCTCTTTCTTGGAGTCTCTCAATGGTGGGTTTAGTGCGGAGATAATCCACCGTGACTCATCAAAGTCACCGTTCTATCGTCCCGCAGAAACCCAATTCCAACGAGTTGCTAATGCGGTGCGTCGTTCCATTAATCGTGCTAAACATTTCAACAGAAGTTCAGTGCATCCAAACACACCTAAGGCTGCTATAACAAAAAATGATGGTGAATACCTTGTGAGATATTCAGTTGGAACCCCACCATTCCAAGTTTATGGTATTGCTGATACAGGAAGTGACATAATTTGGTTGCAGTGTCAACCTTGTGAAACCTGTTACAACCAAACCACTCCAATATTTGATCCTTCAAAATCCTACACATACAAAACCCTTCCTTACTCTTCTACTGCATGTCAATCAGTGCAAGATACCTCCCAATACGGGAACAGTTGTGAATATACTATTTACTATGGGGATGGGTCACACTCACTAGGAGATCTTAGTGTGGAAACACTCACTTTAGGCTCCACCAATGGCTCTTCAATCCAATTTCCTAGAACTGTGATAGGATGTGGACGTAACAATACTGTGTCCTTTGGAGGGAAAAGCTCTGGTGTAGTTGGTCTAGGAAGAGGACCTGTGTCTCTTATATCTCAATTGGGTTCTTCAATAGGTGGAAAATTTTCCTATTGTTTGGCACCAAGGTCTAATGTTTCTAGCAAACTCAATTTTGGAAATGCTGCTGTGGTTTCTGGGAAAGGGACTGTATCAACTCCCATTCTCTCACTTGACCCAAAAGTATTTTACTTCCTAACCTTGAAATCATTCAGTGTGGGAAACAAAAGAATAGAGTTTAGGAGCTCCTCATCTACACCTGGTGGAGAGGGAAAGATCATAATTGACTCAGGTACAACTCTCACTCTTTTGCCAGATGATATTTACTCAAAGTTGGAATCTGCAGTAGCAAATGCAATTGAATTAGAGCGTGTTCAGGATCCATTTAAACAGTTGAGCCTTTGCTATAATAGCAGTTTTGAGGATCTAGAAGCACCAGCGATCATGGCACATTTTAGTGGTGCAGATATCAAGTTAAAAGCTATCAACACGTTTGTTGAAGTGGAAGAAGGGATAGTATGCTTGGCTTTCATGTCAAGTCAAATTGGTCCCATCTTTGGGAACATAGCTCAGTTAAACTTCTTGGTAGGCTATGACCTTGAAAAGAAAAAAGTCTCCTTTAAACCCACAGACTGTACTAAGCGGTGATTGTTGCTGGTTGTTTTATCTAGTCTATGGTTGTTGTTTGTTTTACTTTGTATCTGTCAGTTGATTAAAAATAAACATATGCATTCTAACAATTGTAGTTACATTAGCATTAAAACTTTCCAGAATAAACTCTTTCAATTTTGATAAAAGGCTCAACCAGAACAAGAAAATCAGACTCATGCTGCAAAGCTACTTCAGAATCATTATATTCTCACATTATCAAAATAAAAATTTCATTAGGCATAACTAAAGGGTCCACCTTTTATCAAGTTTTATATATTGTTTCAACGTTCTTTATTTGAGTAATCAATCCTCTTCGATCTGATCACTCCACAATCTTTTTAACTATTCTAAGATGTGCAGCCATTCCACCCTTTCAACTTGAACAGAATCAGTATAAGAAGATTGAGCTCCCAATTATACGTTTAAAAAGCTAAAATTAGGAAAACTTATCTCATTTAATTTAAGTAGAGGAGAGTCTTCTCTATCAGAAGAGGGAACTAAATTTCGCAGTAAAATTATGATTACAGCTTAATTCACTTGAGGATGGACTGAATTTTGACAGCAGATTCTGATATGAATTACAAGGGGTAATTTAGGATCTTTAAGGTTAGAACCTTGTAAGAAATTTAGGAATTAGAAAGAAGGTGGAAGGAAAGAATCACTCTTCCCAAGGAGACAACACACAAAGGATGTGACAGATCCTTTGATATAGCCAAGGGTTCTTGAATCACTCAAGAATTTAGGAGAATCACTCTCACTAAGATAAATGAGATAAACTCTAATATTTCTAAATAAAATATCACTTGTTATTTCTTGATAAGAATGATTCAGCTGATATAGAAGCGTTGCCATCAAAATTACAAAAGACTCAATAAAAGAAAATAAATACTAATAATAACACATTAATCTAGGAATTGAAAACTATTTAATGGAAACAAATAAAGGCTAATAATAATCCATTAACCTAGGAATTGAAACTACTTAATGACTTATTGTATCCGAAGCTGTAGCAACCAAAAGTCAATCAGCTATGCATCCCTTGGTCTCCCAAAGGCTGATGACTAAATTTTCAATTGGGTCCTTATTACAACTTAAAACAAAATCAAACTAAAGCTCATTAATTGATTAATCCAAAACACAATTTGGTCAACCAACAATACTTGTTGAAGAAGCTTCCTTTGTTTTCAGTCATTCGCTTCTAGCTGCCTTTATCATAGAGTCATATTCACGTCAGATTCGCATGTTACAGCTTAATTCACTCTAGGATGGAACTGAAATTTTGACTGCAGATTCGCATGGTAAAATTCTTTATTTTGACCGTTAAGATTATCAATTGGTTGTTTGATGATAAATATCAGTTTCCCATTCTTTGGATTTTAATTTTTTTTTTATTTGCATATTTTGATTTTACTCACTTTTTTTTTTCTTTGTTCAACTTGATTGATTGACTTTTTGTGCAGTGTATTAAAGAATTTTTAGACGCTAAAAATATTAGTACTATCTGTCGTGATTATACTGTGATTTCTGTTATTATTGCTATTAGGCGTTGAGAAATTATTTCCACCACATATTATATTTTATAATTGTGGTGTTGTTTTTTCATTGGAACCTTCCATGAACCTCCTCTTCGAGCATTTATATTGATTTTGAAAAGCAAATTGATATTGAAATTCTGCAAAATAAGATTAAACACCTTCGCTGGATGCGCCACCATGAAAATTTCGTAAACATCAAGTTAAAAAAATTGGGATTTAAGCTAAATCAAATCATTTTTCTTATTTAGCTCACAAGAACTTTTATAAAATAATAATTATAACAAATATACTTACGTGCCTACGAGTATTCAGAATCAGTCAAAAAATAATCTAACGACTTAAAAAAAACAATTAAATTTAAATTTATTTGAATTTTTTATCTACTTTTTTTCTAAACTGCACATTTGGTTGCAATTTAGCAATAAAAAATAAAACAAATTAAATTAAACCATTTATTATATTTAAATATAATATTATATATTTAAAATTAATTATCAACAACTTTACAGGTTAATATTATAACTTGATTATAGTTTATTTTAATATATATAGTTATATTTATCAAAATCTAATATAACAAATTTGTAATGTAATTTTTAATTATAAGATTATATAATTTATTTATAAATATGAGTAAAAAAATTATAAATATAACAATAATCATAAAAATAATATATCATATGTCTCTCGATCTGTCAACTTGTTTTATTATAAATCTTTTTAACATTTTTTTCTCTCAAAAAGTATTTTATAATTTAAAAAAAAATAATTTAACCAAACAACAAAATATTTGTGTAATTTGAATAAAATATTATAATAAGGTAAAAAATGAACTAAATTAAACTATATTTGATTTTTGTATTTAGTTTTGGTAATTATTTAAGGACATTATTGGATAAAAAATGTAATAATTAAAATATATTTATACATCTTTTTTATTTCATCCTTCATAATTTAAAATAAAATTTATATTATATGTTCTCATCCTAGTCCTAGTATTGATTGTTAGTGGAAAAATTGATACATGAATCGAGAAGTGGACAAAAGAAATTTGATGACTAGATTGAGGTAAAAAATTGACAAAATTGAAGTACCGAGTGTAAAGTTAAAGTCGAAGGAGAAAATTGAAGGAGATCAGAGGCATCATAAAGTTCAAGTATTCAATTTCCGGGATCGAAATTGAAGGAAGCAGTTATCTCTGCACATAGGAATATGGGGTAGCAGTTTTTTAACCGTTTTAGGTGGTTATGTTAAGTAGGTTATAAATAGAACTAAGCGTTGGGGGTTAGAAGAGATCATTTTGTATTAGAAATTTCTTGTACGAGTATACGGGAGAACGACAACCATCATGAAATTTCTAGCAATTTGGGTTTCTGCTTTCATCGATCTTTATTACCGCTTTCTGTATTTTCCTTGATAATTTATTCTTATGCAATTTAAAGTTGTGTATTACTTTTTCGTTTCGTCATTTATTTACCTCTCTGTATTTCTTTAAAGTTAATTCAATCAGCGTTTCATATAGTCATTTCCTCTTTATTTCATCTTTCTCTAGTTTTTATGTATTCGCATGTCTCTAAGTTCATATAGGCTTTCATTTTATATCATTTACTTTTAATTTTACTTTTTTCTATTCTAATGTTCTCAAGTTTCTTAATAATAAAACTAAAAAAAAAAGAACTTTTCGTTTTTAAGTTAATGAATATAATTTATTTATCCATTGTTATTGAGAAACCTTTTTTTCAATTAGATATAATCGTTTATTTGAGTAGCATTAATATTTTTATGCTTTTAAATTCATTTTCAGTGTTTCGTACTTAAATTTATCACTTCTTACGTTTTGATTGAAAAACTTTGTTTGCTAGCCTAAATAAAAGAACTCACAGTGGTTGAAAATTGGTTAAAACTTATAGTCTTCGGGAATCAAAATAAAACCAAATTTCACCAGTAACTAATTGGCACGCCCAATGGGACAAGTGTGTTAAACACACAAAATTTGGCTAGTTCAAAAGTGTATGAGATTATGGAGTGGACGAATAGTAAGAATTAATCAAAATCCACAAAATAATCAAAGTAATACTAGGGCTCCTAATAGTCCAAATCTACCAAACACTGGGGGCAAGTTCATAATGGAATTATGTCTGTGATATCATCAAACGTGACTACATCAATTCCAGTGAATACTAAACAAAGCCAAGGGACGTTAACAAATACTCAATCAATAGGGTCTGGAACTATAATGACAAACTGTTAGAATCGCACAGCGGAATGTTCGCGTGGTCGGACAAAAACCAAGAGGGGGGGGGGGTGAATTGGTTTCTTAATAAAAATTAGGTTTTCAAAATTTTCCCCAAAATTTACTGATTAAAAACTGTGTAAATGTAAATACAGAAGAGAAGAGAATCTTACACAGGAAATTTATACTGGTTCGGATCAAAAGATCCTACGTCCAGTTGCTAATCACTCAAACAGAGGATTAACGCTGTCACTATAATCAAGTTGTTACAAACAGATTACAATTGAAAAGATAAAGATAAGAAAACACCTCTCTTGAAATCCAGAAGAGATGATGAACAACTTTCCCTAGAGACGACACAGCACACAATCCACTAAGAACTCCACTTAGTGATTCTTATCGCTTCTAGCCCACACCAGGTTCCAAAAGCCCCTTTTTCTTGCAACAAACAGTTCTCTGGCTCTACAGCACTTAACTTTTGTATGAAAAAGGTTGTTCTCCTTTTCTGAGTGCCATAGAGAAGCTTAAGTAGAGAAATTAGGGTTTGGGAATTGGGAATTTCGGAATTAGGGTTCTTGGAAATAGGGTTTTCGAAAATAGGGTTGATTTGAAGTTAAAAATCAAAATCTGACTGAAATAATCGATTAAATGAAGTGTTAATCGATTATTATAGAGCCAAAATCAACAGAACCCCAAAACACTCTGTTTTAATCGATTAAAAGGGTTGTTAATCGATTAAACCGCCTGTTAATCGATTAACAGGAGGTTTAATCGATTAAACCAGTGAGCAGATACAAAAAATGGTTTTTCTCACTGTTTTAATCGATTATTTCCCTATTTAATCGATTAAAGCCGAGCCTGAATGATAAAATTGAGCTTTTTGAAGCTTCTAAGGTGCAGACTATGTACCGGCTATCTTAAACACTAATATTACAGACTCAATCTAATTGAAACAGAGTTATTACAATACAAAACAAGTCTTCAACACTCTAAGTCTTTGAGTTCTTGAATCATCATCAAAATCAACAATCTTCATGTCCATCAAGTGCAACATCAAGTCCTTGAATGTTCAACAATCTCCCCTTTTTGATGATGATCAAAATTATCTTTTAAAGCCTTGTAATAACCTGTTTTATCTGTCATACTAACAAACACATTAAACATACTAGATAATATTTAAAAACAATAATATTAGGCTTTAAATATTTCTCCCCCTATTTTGATTATAA